GTGCCCCCCCCCGCAGTGGGGGAGGCGCGGAACCTGATCCCCATGGACCCCAACGGGCTGTCGGACCCCTACGTGAAGCTGAAGCTCATCCCGGACCCCAAGAATCTCTCCAAGCAGAAGACGCGGACGGTGAAGGCCACGCTGAACCCCGTCTGGAACGAGGCCTTCCTCTTGTGAGCCCTCGTGCAAGCCCTCGTGCAAATCCTCGTGCAAGCCCTCGTGCGAGCCCCCATGTGTGAACCCCCATGTGAACCCTCGTGCGAGCCCTTGTGCGAATCCTCGTGTGAATCCTCGTGCAAACCCCCATGTGCGAACCCCCGTGTGAACCCTCATGTGAGCCCTCGTGCGAGCCCTCGTGCGAATCCTCGTGTGAATCCTCGTGTGAACCCCTGTGTGAATCCTCGTGCAAACCCGCATGTGAATCCTCGTGTGAAATGTCGTGTGAACCCGCATGTGAATCCTCGTGTGAATCCTCACGTGAGCCCTCGTGCAAACCCTCGTGCAAACTGCCGTGTGAACCCCTGTGTGAACCCGTGTGAATCCTCGTGTGAGGCCGCATGCGAACCCCTGTGTGTGAACCCCCATGTGAACCCTCGCGTGAGCCCTCGTGTGAATCCTTGTGCGAACCCTCGTGTGAATCCCCGTGCAAACCCCCATGTGTGAACCCCCATGTGAACCCTCGTGTGAGCCCTTGTGCAAGCCCGCGTGTGAATCCTCGTGCAACCCCCCATGTGAACTCCCACTAGGGCGACACAAGGGCAACATGAGGGCGCACTAGGGTGACACGAGGGTGCACAAGGGCGACACAGGGTGCACAAGGGTGACACGAGGGTGACACAAGGGTGCCTGAGGGCGACACAAGGGTGCACGAGGGCGACACAACAGTGCACTAGGGTGACATGAGGGTGCACGAGGGTGCACAAGGGCGACACGAGGGTGCATGAGGGTGACATGAGCTTGACACAAAGGTGCACAAGGGTGACACGAGGGTACACTAGGGTGACACGAGGGTGCACGAGGGTGCACAAGGGTGAGGGTGCATGAGGGTGACATGAGCTTGACACAAAGGTGCACAAGGGTGACACGAGGGTACACTAGGGTGACACGAGGGTGCACGAGGGTGCACAAGGGTGACACGAGGGTACACGAGGGGGCACAAGGGGGACATGAGGGGACAATAGGGG